TCTTTCTCCAAGTATTCTCAGGTGAATGACCCCCAAATTTTCGGTATCAAATAGGTGTGGAATAATCTTTTGGTGAATTTGATCCTATTCTTATTTGTATCATAAAACTGAAACATGTTAGTATTTTATTCTTACAGCTGGACTTAGTAACTCACAAGAGATGTTTGGTATATTCTACACTAGTATTTCTTAAAATATAGTCCCATACTTTATTACAATTACTGCTGGTGTTTTTGTGATATCAGCCCAGACCTGTGGACTCAGAATCTTGCAGATCAGTGAGTAGGAAGAAGGGATCTGTATTTTTGTAAGTTCCCTGTGTTATGACTATTCAAGTTTGGGAACCACAGTTTAATATAATAATGCCTAATACATGACTTATGTGCCTTAATTTCCTTATTGTGCACCTGTTGCAGACATACTAATTGATCACAACATTTTTTTCCTGCAGAGCTAATAGAAAGCCACATAAGTCTACTCAGCATTGTGCCTAAACAGCTGGTTGGCGTGGATGATAAGTCTCTCTTGGAACGATTCTATACCAACATTGCTATTTGGCAATATTGTCCTTAGAGACATAGCTAAGAATTTAGAGACAAACACTGATGTTCTTTAAATTGCAAAGAGAAGTCAGAAAATTTTTGCATAAAGAATTGGATATAAGGCCTAGAGCAGAGTAGAAAGCAAGTCAGAAACTATGAGGTGTCAGCTCTGGAAATCACATTCATAACAACAAAAAACAATCAATGATAGAGGAAAACATAAATACATGATGTAGTCATTCAAAGGACACAATTGAATGAGGCCATTAAATAGCTCTTTATGATTCCATTTAGTAAGTTCTGAAGGCTTTAATATGGATGGCACAAATTATTTTTGTAATTATGACCCAAAATACCCAGAAAACGATAAGTCTTATAAGGGCCTGTGCAATGAAGAGGCCCCAGAATTGACCTTTTCATACCTTAGGTTCAAGGCATTATTGTTTTAGAAAGTTCCCTAACGAAGGAAGCTAAAGAAAGAGAAGTGCTTGAAATGTAAGTTATTAGCTAATTGATAATATTAATTAAAAATATTTTCAATCTTAGGTTTTCAGAAACTCATTTTTACATTCATATTTACTTTGTTTACTCTCCTATTGTAATACTATTTATTGGAGAACTCAGTAATAACATTTGTATATTATCTTGTCATCATGCTCTGTAAAATTGAACTTCTTGCAATATAGCTCTACTTTTATGTAGTCAATTTAGAATTATATCGGGTGATTTACTGTCAAATAATTCTTACTAAATGTCCCTTTTCCATTTGTATTCAATTCATTTGATAAGGGTATATGTTAAGGGTGATAATTTCTTAAGCAGTACATCAAAAATATAAAAACAAATATACTTTTTGCTTTTTTGATAACTGCACAGGGCTGGGATCTGTAAATCCTCACTCTGTGTCGTATAAAAATGATAACTTACGGATATTGTAAAGCAAATAAATTATTCTCCAAAAATGGTTTTGGCCATTCTTTAAAAAATATTTATCATGTTAATAATTAACACATAATCACAAAATCTAGTCGATATTTTATGTATTTTAAAAATGTAATCATTGTGGAAATCTGTTTTTCCATTTAAAATATCACCTTATTTTCTATATAAAATATATTTTCTTTCTTTTTTTTTTATTGCATTTTAGGTTTTGGGGTACATGTGATGAACATGCAAGATTGTTGCATAGGTACACACATGGCAGTGTGCTTTGCTGCCTTCTGTCCCCTCACCTGTATCTGTCATTTCTCCCCATGCTATCTCTTCCCACCTCCCCACTCCCCCGTCCCTCCCCCATTTCCCCCCAACGGACCCCAGTGTGTAGTGCTCCCCTCCCTGTGTCCATGTGTTCTCATTGTTCAACACCCGCCTATGAGCGAGAATATACGGTGTTTGATTTTCTGCTCTTGTGTCAGTTTGCTGAGAATGATGGTTTCCAGGTTCATCCATGTCCCTACAAAGGACGTGAACTCATCGATTTTCTATATAAAATATTAAGAAAACTAATTGTTTCATGGGAATATGTTAACCAGATAGACTAAGAAAGGGGCTTCAGAGACATTCTTTAAGGGAATTGCTTCTGACAAAACACACCATTAATTTTATGGCCATATTAAAGCAACTTTTTACCATATCGTTCCAAATTTACTCTTTTCCTTACTGGAATACTTGAAATAAGCACTGAACATGCAAACAAGAGATGGGACTTCTAGTCTTGGCTTAGGTTAGGTTAATTAGTATTATAAAGAAAAATCACGTGCTCAACTAAATTGGACATAGTGGTTCATGTTAGTATCTTATGAACACCTGGAAAACAAGTACTTACCATATGTAGATATACATACCCATATGTTTATGGGAAGAAAAAACTTGAAATGGATTGGTTAAATAAAGACACAGACTTTTAAAGATCGCTGCAACACAGATTTCCAGTGTGAACATTTAACTATTTCATTGACAATGATAAAGATTCTTGCCACCCTTCTTTTCGTAAACCATTGCATCGAGAACCACAACAATGTTTCATTTAAAAGCAATCTAAGGCAGGAATGAGCACGAGTGTGTCGATGGACTCTAGTTATGATTTATTAAAAGATGAATTTTACCAATTCTTATTTAACAAATTCCAGAATATCTGACCCTCTTTAAACTTTAATGTAAAAGCATCACTTTTTTTTTGTTTTGGGAATGCTTCTTTAAAAGCAATTCTTTAGTGTATATCTTTATGATTCTAGCAAATGTAATTAGGATATAATACTATGTTGGGATTATTTTGCCAACTTTGTTAAATGACTTAGTTACAGAAAATCTGACATCCTCTTAGCCTCTATTTTAAGTTTGACATCAAATGATTAGAATTTTGAGGAAGTTTGGCCAGTGATGAAATGATAGCTTGGTAGCACATGGTAACCCAACTGTTTAAAAAATATGTCTCTTTGTAATTTATAATGACAAGCACTTAGGTTTTATTTTACTATACTAATGTATTCTATTCAGTATGTCTATGTACTATGGATATAGCTTACTTATATCCATAGTAGTAATACAGGCTCTTGTCTAAGAGTAATTTGTAACTCTAACCTTATATAATGTTTTAGTTTTATTATTTCTAGTGAATTACTACTGCATTTTCTCATGCACATGATAATTAGATGAGCTTTTATCAAAGCATGTTCTTATTTAATTATTGCTACTATTTTGCACAGGAATATTATTGTTTTTCCCACATTCGTTTCTTATGTTGATAATCTATAGTTACATATTTTTATTTATATATTTATTTATTCCAATAACTGAGAGAATATGTAGTAATTTAAGTTTTATTCAGCCAGATTATAGGGAGTAAGAAGAGGATTTGCAAATTAATTTGATTTTATCTTTGTTCAGTCTCCTAGCTACTGTGTATTATATATTTACTTTTGTTGAATACAGTTAAGTTTATCTTTTTTTTTTTCTTTTGAGACAGAGTTTCACTCTTGTTACCCAGGCTGGAGTGCAATGGCACGATCTCGGCTCACCGCAACCTCTGCCTCCTGGGTTCAAGCAATTCTCCTGCCTCAGTCTCCTGAGTAGCTGGGATTACAGGCACACGCCACCATGCCCAGCTAATTTTTTGTATATTTAGTAGAGACGGGGTTTCACCATGTTGACCAGGATGGTCTCTATCTCTTGACCTCGTGATCCACCTGCCTCGGCCTCCCAAAGTGCTGGGATTACAGGCTTGAGCCACCGCGCCCGGCCCCAGTTAGGTTTATCTTTAATCAGGATTGACAATCTTTTTTAGTCCCAACCTCTTGAATAACCAGGAGTAAAGACTTTACAAACTTCAACTAAGTGATATTATGGTAAGAGTCCCTTAACTGTCATACCATACCTTAGTGGAATGAATTAACCAAACACAAAAGAACAGAGTTGTAGAAGAATAAGCAATGTAGGAGAGAATACTGCTTGCAGTATTGGATGTAAGGGGAATTTCCAAGGTCTCTATTATTCACTGACACATGGCAAGGAAAACTGTTTGAAATCAGTTGTTTCCAGCTGGTTCTTCAGAGTAGACGGTGTTTATCACTCTCAAGACTCTGATATATCAAATATTAATGATAGATGATAAAAAGAATCTTAGTCAGTGAGTTTGTCTGCCAAAAGAGCTAGCTCCGATTTAAGAGGGTATTAATTTTCATAGACAGGTAATATTTTTTCTGTGGTATTCCTTAAGCTTAATGTACTTTGTAAACTTGGATGTACTTGGATAGAAATCTGTTGTTTTAAATTAAAATTCCTCTGTTCACTCACATATTTCATTGAAAACAATATTCAGTGATGTCAGTGGTAAAAATAGGTATGAAATGGGTGATTTCTTTCTTTAATAAATATGATTTTTAGGAATTTGGCAAAGAACTGAGTTGTTTTACCATCAAAAGTTATATTGATATGCATGATGTATACAAATAGAAAAAAAATTCCAGATTTTTAGAGAAAAAAAATCTTAAAGGTAATTTAGGAAAATGTAAATGAATATAGTCTAAAATATTTGTTTACTTGTCATTTAAAAAATATAAATAATAGAGGTAACTTCAGGATAAAAAGTCACTATAATGTGTCATTATATATTTTTATTCTAAGACACATGATTATATAGAAGTTTTTCTAAAGAATATGAGATTCGTCTTGTGTTATTTGAATAACTTTTTATCTGTACAACCCAAAGACTATTTCATGATATCTTATCTTGTTAAATAATTACTAGTCTTCCAAAAGTACATAAGTTTCATAAGTGAATTTAAAATTTCAAGAAGACTCATACCCTGACAAGTCTGATTTTGCATTTTCATGCTTTGTTGCTTATTAATACTCTAGTTGCATTAGTGACTGTTTAGGACTTTGAGTAGAGTTAGCCTCCCAATTGTTGAAAGGCTAGTGGTCTGCACTTCCTTTTTCCCTTAACTGTTCAATTCTCAGATATTGACCAGTGGAATAAGGTAATTGAACAACTAGGAACACCATGTCCAGAATTCATGAAGAAATTGCAACCCACAGTAAGAAACTATGTGGAGAATCGGCCCAAGTATGCAGGACTCACCTTCCCCAAGCTCTTTCCAGATTCCCTCTTCCCAGCGGACTCTGAGCACAATAAACTCAAAGGTATGTTCTTCGGGAATAACTTAAGAACAACTATGAGGGTGACAAGCCAAACAAGTACTCGGTATAGAGACATCAGTCTCTTTCTCTTTGTTTCCTTTTATGTTTAGTCGACACATGATAATCGTGCATATTTCTGGAATACAGGGTAATATTTTGAAATGCGTATGGAGGTATAATGGTCAAATCAGAGCAACTGGTATAACCTATCACCTCAAACATCGATAGGTTCTTTAATTGGCACAACCTCAAGTTAAAAAAAGGTATTTCTTGGAAGATCTTTCCTACAAAGCGGAGAAACCATGGATTTTAGATCTGAATATTCAGAGGGAAGTGTGATGATGCTGTGCACTATGTATTTCATGGGGGGTTATTTAGAATCCTAAAGTTATTTAACTCTGAAAGGCCACTATAATACACATATATACATTGAAATCATGGTTTCAATCCTTTTTATTACTTAAAAATATTTTCAGTGCAAAGTTTAGTTGCAAAATCTTGGAGATGCAGATCTGAATTTATTTTTCTTATAATTTATGGAATGCTTAAATTATTTTTTTATTTTAAAATAGTAAATGAGATTTTATATACATTTTTTATTCAATATAAACACTTCCATTAATAAGTCATTTTTTCCTATCACTTTGTTGGCAGTTAATGTATTTCAGTCACAAATATCTTCACCCACAAAATTGACTTGATAATGCCTCAGTCTCATTTGGAGACATGGAATAAATTTAGCAATGCATAAATTGTAATATAAATAATAATACCAAATTCCTATAATTTGGAATACTCCTGGAAATCTGGTTTTGAAATAAATCTGTTTCCCTCCTGCCTGGTTTCAAATTTGTCCCTCTGCCTTAAAGTCTGTATGACCCTGAGCAAGTTACCTAATTTTTCTTTCCTTCTTTTAACAAATGAACATAGAGAGAACCTACCTTATAGGGTTGTTGGGAAGATTAATTGACTTAATTATTTGTTGAACACTTAGAGCAGTGCCTGGCTCACTGTGGATGCTCAGTGACATGAAATATAATAAAAATAGTGGTTTTAAGATGTATCTATAAATTATCAAAAAAGAAAAACTTAGGACACATGTTTTTTAAATTTAGTCCCAAATGTTATATGAACAAATTAATTATCTACAGACTTAACTTACAAGCTTAATATATATAGCTGAGGAAGACTTAAATGAGATGAGAAATCTAAAATGTGGTGCCACTGTTTTGCAGGATGTTTTTATATCCTCTGAACTTTTATCTAACGGGTTTTAAATGTGTAACACTGTTTCTGTGCTCTTAACACATGCTGCACAGTTGAATTTCTTCCTTCAGCTGCCTCTATGGACTCTCTTACTGACAATGGACAAAATTATTTCTAAATCTACAACTTTTAAGATCAACGTTGCCTGTATCCAGTTTGAAAAAGAGCTGATACTCAAAGTAAAGCTCTTATGCCTTTGTGATACTAATTGAGATATCAGGCAAACGTAATCCCTTCTTATGAAGACACTTGCAACAATACGGAGGCAAAAAGCCCTTATTCAACTATTGTATGAAATCACAGTAAAAAGGCTATTAAGATACTATGTTTCATAATATAATTACCATTTTCTTGAGTTTACTCTTTAATTCAATTTGAATCTCTGCAATTATATTACTTTTGTAAATGAAAAACTAGTTTGCATATTTGATTATTGATTTTAATTTTTAATATAAAATTGGCAAATATGAATAATCATAATATACAAATAACCAAATAGAAGAATTTATTTTAGTGTATTTGGAAAAGAGCATAACACATTTGCTTTCAAATAAAAGAATGAAAGAGAACTCATTGAAACGTTTTCCCATATTGTTTCCTAACAATAGTATTGATCATTGTTTCTTAGCAAGATGATTTGGTATTGGTGTAGTTCATGATCCTATTCATGAACAGTCCATTCTAATCCCAGCTTTTTCTAAGAGCAGAAAAGTGGATGGATTTGATGAGAGAATCTATGAGAATTGGACATGAATTTGGATGTAAAATCAGTTACAAATTAAAGAGATATTTAAAGCAATTAATAAATAAACACAGCCCTGTTAGGCTGTTAGGAGGCTATTGGCAATGAGAAAATTAAATATTGAATAAACATATAAGTATTTCTGTATTTTTGTTATTCTTGTGCAGTTCAGAGTTTTAATTTAAAAGTAATAATAGTTTCTAGGATTGAGTTTCCCAAAAAAATGGTCAATAAAAATTTCTTAGATTTGATTTAACTAGTGATTTTTTCATATTTGTTAAGAACATTAAAATATATATTTATTGATTACCAAGTAAATTGGTAATTATTATCAATTACGAATTGGTAATAATTTATTAATTACCAAAAAATACAGGTAAAAAAATTAATTGCCACATTTTAACTGTCATATAATTAATATTATGTGAAAAAGACATGAACAGCACTCAAAAATAATATGCCAATAATCATAGTCATTGCCTCTAGCTAAGGGTGTTAGATATTATTTCCTGATATTTATATTTTATATAATTTTCAAACTTGTAGAATTAGCCCAGTTGTCTTAATCTGAAAATTGATTAAATAAAAACTGATACGTGTCCACAGAGTCATCTATGTTGTTTGAAAACCAATTTAATTTTTTCTCTTTAATTTGATGTCTTGCCATATATTTAAACCGTTCAACTTTCTTTTTTTTTTTTTTTTATTTTTGAGACAGAGTTTCACTCTGTCGCCAAGTGCTAGGCTGGAGTGCAGTGGCACAGTCTTGGCTCACTGCAACCTCCACCTCCCGAGTTCAAGGAATTCTCCTTCCTCAGCCTCCCGAGTAGCTGGGACTACAGACGCACGCCACCACGCCCAGCTAATTTTTGTATTTTTTTTTTTTTTTTTTTTTTTTTTAGTAGAGACGGGGTTTCACCATGTTGCCAGGATGGTCTCGATCTCTTGACCTTGTGATCCACCCGCCTCGGCCTCCCAAAGTGCTGGAATTACAGGCTTGAGCCACCGCACCTGGCCAACTGTTCAACTTTCAAATCCATTAACAATATTGATTTGATGTATTCATTTCTGTTAAAACTTTATGTAAAATTTTACATATTTTTAGAGATTAACATTAATGTGTCTTTTAACAGTTATTAAATAAATATACTATCACCATGTAATTTTATAACTATTACTACCCACAACCATAAAATTAGTTATGATAATTTTACATAATATAGAATTTTTCCTTAGTGTCTGGTATAGTATTAGACTGGCTTCAGTCTTTAGCTACTGGATTTCATCAAATCATGATTCCATTGATTGAAAAATGCCTGATGATTACAGAATGTAAAAATAAAATTCAGTGGTTGAATGATATTATTTCTATCACATCAATTCTTCTATTGTTTTTATATATATAAGAAATTTGTGGCTGGGAGCAGTGGCTCACTTCTGTAATCCCAGAATTTGGGAGATTGAGGTGGGAGGATCCATTGAGCTCAGAGTTTGAGACCAGTTCGGGCAATATAGGGAGACCTTATCTTTACAAAAAAATAAATCAATAAGATAAAACAGCCAGATATGATGGTGCATGCCTGTAGTTCCAGTTACGTGGGAAGCTGAGATGGGAGGATCCTTTGAGCCCAGGAATTCCAGGCTGCAGTGAGCTGTGGTCATTCTACTGCACTCCAGCCTGGCAACAGAGGGAGATCCTGTCTCAAAAATAAATAAATAAATAAAATAAAATTAATAAACAAACAGAAAAAGAAATTTGTCTGATTCAAACTGTTAAGTCAATTTGTATACTTGAATTAAATTAAAAATCTGATAATTTCGTTGTATGAATAAGAATACAAAGACACACGTTAACGTCAAACAGCCATCCACACATTTGTTGAACATCATGCATTTGCACTTTTCATGCTCTTTATTCTGTTTATCCTATATTCACACAGTTTACCAAAGATGATTACTTTGCTTGCATAAACGCTCTGGGTTGATACATCTTACTTAGAAATTTGAGTGAATAATTTTATACTCAAAGCAGTATAACCCTTAGAGAGCCTCAAAATGAAGCCGTAAGCTTAGAGACACAAAGAAACGAGTGTAAAATGCATTTCCTTTCCCATCACATCAAAGAATTTACCTGATGTTTGGAAAAAAGATACTATTCCATACTTTATTTTCTTAATTTCTTCTCTGTTCAACAAATTTCCTTACTGAAATCAAAATCTTACTAATTATTTTTCTCATTTATTGTTTCAGCCAGCCAAGCCAGGGACTTGTTGTCAAAGATGCTAGTGATTGACCCAGCAAAAAGAATATCAGTGGACGACGCCTTACAGCATCCCTACATCAATGTCTGGTATGACCCAGCTGAAGTGGAGGCGGTAAGAAATAGGCTTCCTTTGCTTTCACAAACAAAGCACAGCTCATAGCAAAAACTCAATAAAACTAGAAGACAAAAGAATTCACAATGGACTTGTATAAATTTTCTAAGTCCAAAGCCTGTTACCTGCCCCTCTAAAAGTTATTTTCTTCAACGTATGTTTTAAAAATATTTTTCCAGGGCTTAGTAGAAGAGGGATGATTTAGTCCAACAAGCCTTAGATGTCCGTGACACACTACTATTTTTTCTGTTAAATTGATAACACTTGTATTTCTTCTTGCATGTTTAACCATAAGCCTCTTCTAATGCAAAATTATGGTACGAAACAACAGAGGACAAGTTGCTTTGCTTGCATTTTTTTAAAAAGATACCTGCCACTAGTAAAATGTGGTACTTAAGAATATTTCAGTGAGAAAGTTTTTATAAGACCATTGGTGCCTTGTGAAACCTTCCATGAACTAGAGGAACTAGAAGCAGGTATTTCAGTAAGTGCATTCCCTCAGGTTGATCGGTATGATGTATCTCCAGGTCTTATACCCAGACGTGGAGAATCTTCTCAGAAGCTTAACTCTATCTTAAAACATATTTTTTAACCATTTAATACCTTCTATTCAACCTCCTTCTTTTATCTTTACCTCTCTTCTTTCTTCTGTATGGATCCAGGCCTAGCAGGGCAAGGGGCTCTTGCTGTTGCCCATGTGTGTTTTAGAGGCCTCCTGATGAGAATTTCCTTTCTGTACCACCTTCGAATGTTCCTATCAGCAATGTTACCTTCTCCCATAAGCATGAAAAGCTTCTTAAATTCTCAGAGTACCTGTGATAAATCATCTCATTTTCTTTTATATAATACCTTCAAATTCATTTGTTTGGATTTGTTCTTAATCTTTCATTTGAAATACTGTTTATTTCCCCAAGGTATTCTTGAGGATATTTTCACTTTCTTTCAGTTTTCTTTCCTCTGCTTCACTATGTGTTTTTCCATGTCAGAGGTGCCAGATTCAAACACATAATTCCCATTTCTTCATTCTTCACTAGGGAAGATATGAAAGATGGCAGGGAGGACTCAGTGGAATTGAACTTTGCAGACACAATATTCAAGAGCTCCTTTTCATAATGTAACCCAACCTTTAAGTGTTTAAAAACTTCAGAGGAAACACTTAAGTGATTAATGAGTCTCTCAAATGTGGAAACCGAAGTGTAACCATCCTGCATTACATTTTTGTAAAGATCTTCTCTCTTAATTAGTTTTACAATGATGTTGAAGTTTCATTTTGCCTCCAGTTAATTTTTAGTCATTTTATTTGATTCTTACAAAATAAAATACCTACAATTAAATATTTCTGAGTTTAATTATAATGCTCCTAAAGTTAATATATATTCTTACAACTAAAATGTAGAACCTCTTCTAGTGTCTCACACTTGGGAAATACTTGCAAAAATATTCTTGAGATAGAATGAAGTAATGAAGTGGGTGAGAGAAAATATGATGTAAATGTATATGAAAATTAAGTATAAAAATTTTATCTCTGATGAAATTCAAGAAAATATTTTAGGTTATGTTGATAAAAATGTTATATAAATATAACTTGTTTGAAATTGCTTCTCCTCATTTATTTAGAGGCATGTTAATTTAGGCCTCAGTACGTCACTTATTTATTTTTTCTTATATCTAACTTAATGGGTATAATCTGGTTTTAATGGGCTGTGGCCTAGAGTTTAATTAGAGTCATAAAGTCTGCATTTGTAATTCACTTGTAATTATGTTGCCTATAAAAGAGATAGTTGTTTGGAATCTATAACAACATCATACTGAATAGTGTCAATGAGTTTTTAAATTTATTTTAAGTTTTTATGAAAAATGCTTTGTAGAATGAAAAGATAAAATTTAGGATACTGAAATAGCTAGAGCGTTTTTGTTAACCATTTTGATATTGGCATGCTAGGGCATGGCTAGCAGCAAGGCAGGGTGCATGAATTTTAGGGGAAGGATCTGATAGAGGCTGCAGGTCCAGGAAAAGAAATCAGTTAATACACAGAACAAGCAAGTGTTTGACATCTAGACTGGGATCATTGATTGTCTTACATCTAGACATTTTATAGTGAAGAGCTGGGAATCCTGATACTAGGGCAAGAACAATTTATTACTCTATGAAGTGCATCACCGTGGTCACAACTAAGAAGAGACAGATTCTGAAGTCTGTAGTCACCTATGCTTTCTGCAAAATCAGTAGTCAACTATGCTTTCTGCAATATCCTTAGAATTCATGTGTCTTTTATTGCATGTGAACATATGTCTAAAATAAGATAACCTTTCTTTATGGACACATGGCAAAATTATAATAGAGTGATGTATCTTCTTCCAGGGCTGATAAGACTGTTTTGCAAAATGCATTCCTGTATGTCTTTATAATCCAAATAAATGGAAGTAACAAATAATCAGAATATTCCTTCTGATCAAAGAGCCTTCAAGTAACTCATGTCCTGTTAGAGAGGGAAGGAAATTCAAAGGTGCTAGAGAAAAAAAAAATAAGTTTCACTGGATGGAAATAATGGCAAGAGGACAAGGAATAAAGGAAAAACTCTCATAATGTGATAATTTAGAGGAAAAGTGGAAAGAGTATAGATATGCTATGTGTAATAAGTTATTAATCATACTATGAGCTGTCTTATCATGTTTCAAATGAGAAGAGCACATGAATGAATATTTTCATAATTCTAAGAGGAAAAATTAGCCATGTATGCATAAGTTTGAAAATATTTAAAATTGGATTCTATGCTGAAGAATAATCTGTGTAGTAATAGTACATAAATATTTTGAAATAACTGTTAAAATTATTAGCAAGTTGTTATTCAAATAATGTTTAGAGTAACAAAGTGCAGTTTAAAAATGGAACACACAAGTCGCATATAATGTCAATGCTTTTCCATGAAACAATTGGAAGATGCTCTAACTCTGGTTCAGTGTTCATTAAGAGGGCAAATATTATTGCACACAAATGTAATTGGTTGAGTTGTTTGCATCTTCATAGATATGAAAGATGAGTGAGGTTTAAATTTCTGCTCTGCCCATTACTAATTTGCTTTGATCAAGTTTCTTAACCTTTCTGCAATTCAGTTTTCTAAACTAAGAAGGTTCTTTCTTATCATATATGCAGCATAGCATTCTGAGATTTTGAGGAGTTAATGTGCATAAAGTGCTTAGCAAGTGCTTAGCAGTCAGTAAGAATCACATAAATTATTCTTATCTTATAATACTATTACTATTATGACTTTTACATGCATAGCTTTACTACCTTTTGATATTAGAAAAGGATATATGCATCTGGTGAAAAAGACTAGCTGGACAAGATATTGCAGAAATATTCCACAACATTTATTTTTTGAATAATGATGATGATCTAATTCCCACATGATTTTAGGTCCATTTTTTCTTTTTCTTTTGTCTGATGTATACCTACCTCTTCTTTGCCAGGTAGAAGAGCATCTAGTGTTGTTAGTTTAAACCAAACTAAGATCACAGAGTCCACAAATCCTGATTATTATTCTCTATACTTTGGGAAAAGTAGGAGATATTTGGGATTGTTTTGGGGAACTCAGTTTAATATCTTCCTTGTGCCCTCTTGGAGGAAAATGCATTGTTTACGAAGCTTTATTGCCTCATCTCTTACCAGATTATTGAGTTTAGCCACCCTTCTAGGATGCAGTGGTGGCTTTACCCCTGAGAATGGGGCTACAGAGCATATTTAAGGAGCATCTGGGTGAACTCCAAGCTAAGAAAGAGTTGATTAACTATTTATCAGGGCACAGAAGAAGGGGATTTATGAGGAACATAAGCTGTAACTATTTTTAAAAACAGTTTTATTTCTGCCAGAAATTTCAGAGCACTTCAAGGAAACTCCTGAGTATAATAGCCTTACAAAAGGCTCCATCCTGCCGTTCTTGTTCCTTGCAAGGGCACAGGGAGAGGAAGCAGGAGAAAGAGATGTGTGTTCAGGCAAAACTAAATACTTCAAAACTCAAAGAAATCATCGTGAAGAAGCCTATTACAAACATATGGAGTCAGTGGGCACTTTTTGATTTCTCAAGTCTCGACTAAAAGGAAGGATCTAGACTTGAGACTAGACCCATCCCCTAAGATGGGAGAGGTGCTGGAGCCAAGCTTCATGGCCAGTGGTGATCAACCAGATAGACCACTGTGTTGAAGGCTCTGTTTCAGAGAGGCCCAGATATAGTTGTTAATGGCTGAAACCTTACTCTTGGAATTAGGGCAGAAAGGCAGGTTGAACTGCTTGGGCCACTGGCATTTTGAAATGTTTTTCTCTAGTGGGTGAACCTGGGGTACTTGAGAACCCAGAGGACAGCTGGCAGGAAACATAGAAACTTCTGGGTGGCAGCCAAATGAAAGTTCCAGAAGAGAATGCTGGAAACGGGGCCTGGAAATGGTACTCCAGCTATAATGTAGACCACAGAGAGAGAGTGGGTGTGTTTTGTTTGGGAATCTAAAGACACATGACATCCTCAACTAGAGTAAGACAAAAGGTGTAACTAATTCACCCAGTTTGATTGGAAGGTGACTTGGTAAAAAGGGCCAGTGCTGAGCTTGTTTGTTATTTTTGATCTAACTCAAGATTAATTTGGGAATTGGGACAGGGATAAGTGGGAATTTAATCTATCAATATAGATCCTGAATTAAACCACCTGATCTTTGGATTCCCAGTGAGAGTATAACCTGAGAAACAGAGTAACACTTACATGTATTTGTGCTGAGGTCCAATTAAAATAAACACTTAGACAACATGAGCCCAGAATAGTCAACACTATTACACATGTACTGTTTGTTTATAATGTAAAGTGATTAAAAGGGTCTTAAATACTTTTTTTTTTTTTTTTTTTTTTTTTTTTTGAGACGGAGTTTCGCTCTTGTTACCCAGGCTGGAGTGCAATGGCGCGATCTCGGCTCACCGCAACCTCCGCCTCCTGGGTTCAGGCAATTCTCCTGCC